CCTTCTCCTTCCATCTTCATGCAACTGTGAAGACCTCTCACTCCAAACCAGGCCCCTTCCCTTGGAAGGCTTTCTAACCTGGGACCTTGTAGCACCCAAAGGGTGGGCAGAGAAGGTACAAGTAGCCCCATTAGAGGGCAAAGGACTCACTCAAGGTCATCACCCGGGTCCTCCAACTCTCCAGTGCTCTGTCCACCCCTCGTGCCACAGTGCCATTCAACAAAAGGTTGGGACCTTATCTTTCCCGAACAGAATTTGAGATAAAGCACCAGGCACTATGATTTAGAACCTCTCTCACTCTTATATCTATGACTATTTTCTTAATTACATGGGTAGATCTATAACCTGGTGTTATGTGAACAATGAGATAATGCAGAGTTATGCCTAGAAAGAAAACACACCCAAACTTCAACAGTGATTCTTTCTTGGTTATGAAATTTGGGGTGACTTTTATTCTTATCTTCCAATCTTGACTGTGTTCCAAGTTTACTATAATCAATCAGTACTATTTTCAAAACCAGAGAAGCCTATTGTTTTCCAAAGGCTGAAACACCGAGAACAACAATGCAAACTTTCCATTAAATATTCGTTTAATATAAGTGTGTGTGTTTTTAAAACATGGTAGAGCTTGAAGTGACGCAGGTTAGGAACAAAAGTTTTCTGGGTGGGATCTTCCCTCTCTGGTTTCCGCCCCAGAAGAGGAGGAAAAGGAGGTGACTTTGGAGCTTCCTGCCTCCCAGCCCAGACCATCAGTCGGAGCCTGTCCTAGGGCAAACCCAAGGCTGTTCAGTGTGCCCTGTAGGCTCCTGATATAAACTCAGTTCAAATAAGCAATCCTGTTCTGATCGACCTTAATATCCGTCACTTCTCAAGAATCCTTCCACCTTTATCTAGAGTGACAATGACATTAATCCATCCAACCGTTCCATTTGTTTAGTCAAAAACTATTTCAGCACCTACTCTGTGCAAGGCATCATGCCAGACACTGAACCATCACTAAGCTAAGACCGGGGAAACAACCAACCAGAGGCTCTGTGTCAGCCTTCTATGTTCTGCCCCAGCGTAGGGTTTCAGCCCCGTGCTAAAAAAGCAACAGGAATTCGAACAAATGCTGCCTGGGTGTGACGCCTATTTATTTCCAGATTCTCAACAACTCTGCATGGGGCCCCTGCCATCATGGGGCCCCCACTCCCCTGTCCTTAGACAAAGCAGGGTCCCAGAACTGCACTGATGGCGAGGGAATATGAGAACACCCCAAATTTGGCAACCATCCAATTCTTCTCTCCACAGCCCTCTCCCGCTTTCCTTCTTATCTTCCCTGTCCTTCTTGAGGCCGGGAAGATCATACTCAATATTTATTGAGGGCCTACTAGGTGCTGAGCCCCAGTGTCAAACAATTTTGTAGACAAGAACTCAGACCTTTGATTTGTACGTGCTATTCATTCTGCCTGGACCCCATTTCCTCCCCTTACACATGGTGACAGCTTAAATTCTCCTCCTCAGAGAAGTGCCTGCCCAAGCAAGAATGTCCTGACGTTCTCTTAGCGCACCGGTGACAATTGTAACTACTTCAGTGTTTGCTCTTTCCTCAACTGGACTCAGCTCCAGGACGGCAGCTCCCTGCACACTGGCTGGCACACAGGCACGCATTACTTCTTTTTTGAATAAACTAACAGCCTAGGCCCTGGCCAGTGTGGCTCAGCGGTTGGAGCATCAGCCTGCGGACCAGAGAGTCCCAGGTCCGGTTCCCGCTAAGGGCACGTACCAAAAATTAAATAAATAAATAAACTAACAGCCTATAAGGTAATAATAAAAGCCAGAGTTTACTGAGCATGTACTATGTGCCAGGTGCTGTGCTGAGCTCCATGCAGGCACTGGGTCATAATAGTCACATGATGGCTGTACCATTATTACTCCCATATTAAGATGAAGAAAATTACATTATTTTCCCGTTTTCTTTTATTATTATTATTATTGATTTTAGAGAGAGAGAAGGTGGAAGGCAGGGAGAAGAGGAGGAGGAGGGAGAGAGGAAGGGGGGGGGGAGAGAGAGAGAAAAACATCAGCCCATTGCTCCATCCACCCATGTATTCATTGGCTGATTCTTGCATATGCCCTGACCGGGGATCGACTCGCGACCCAGTCTTATTGGGACAACACTCTAACCAACTAAGCAAACCCGCCAGTAGGGCCCCCCTATTTTTAGAGAATGGGAATTAGAAACTGGTAAGCAAGCTGTCCTAGGCCACAGGGATAATAAGAGCGAGGATCTGAACCTCATCTCCCAATTCTCTCTACATGTCACTGGACTTCTCAGCTCCTTATGTCCCTCGCTCCCCAGTGCCCAAGGTCTCCTGTGCCACCAGTGACCATTTTTGTTCCCTTCCTGAATTCTTGGTCTCCTCTCCCAAGGCACCCAATTCAGAAAACTTCCCCAACTCCTCCCCTCTCACCCCACACCCATCGGCTCCCATACACAATGCGGACCCCTTAGCTGTGCTTCAGCCCTGATCTTGTGCAAAGACCTCTAGCCTTTAGAATCCGAGACACAGTGACTAGAGCAGCTGCGTAAATGCTGGCGAGCAGATACCCAGCACAGCAGGCAGGCAGGCAGAGAAGGCAGCCATCTCCTCAGTGAATCCATGTGGGATCCAACAGACGAACCTGGTTTCTGGGTTCCAGTTCCCACGCTGTCCCCACTCTCTGCCTATATTTATAGTGCTGGTAAGTATGGGCACATGGACGATGGACTGCCACCACAGCTCTCAAATGGGAAAGGGAGCCACCCACATCCATTCCAGATCTGTGGAGTGAGGAGTCAGTGAGAATCCGTGGGACCCAGAAAGAATTTGGGTTCCAGCGCAGGGGAAACGGGAAAGGCAGTAAAAATAAAAAAAAATGCCAGTGTCCTGAGGGAAAGCAAAAGAGAGGGAGGCCAGGGCTTCCGGGAGTTCTCCGTGGGAATAAAGGGAGGAGGAGGGAGATGATCATATTGTCCTGTAACACAATGCTGAGGATGTCACTTCCTTTACGAAACTTTCAGGGCTCCCGATGACCATACCAGAGTCAAGTGCAAACCCTTTGGGGGGCCCTTCAGAGGTCTTCATGCCCAGGCTTAACACAGATGGGTCTGGAAGGTGACGTATTTCAGACCTCCACACCTCTGCCCAGGGGCTCCTCTGCCTAGAACATACTTTCCCCAGGAGCCTCAAGACACAGGACATTTTGTTTCCAGGAAGACTTCTGGGACACCCCAGGGTTAGTGAGGGAAGAGCATGGGCTCTGAGGTCAGACCCTCTCTCAAAGCTCAGCTCCATCAACCAGCCCAGCTTTAACCTCCTAGGCTACTCCTCCAAAGTGTTGAAGGTAACTGCTCCTACATCACAGGGTGGTGAGAGGATGAAATGCACTGCTTTATGAAAGCGCTTTGAACTGCGCCTGGCACACAGTAAGTGTTTAATAAACAAGCTGTTGTTCCTATTGTCCTCTGGGCCCTTTATGGCCTTCTGTTTCTTCCACAAGTAGAGCACTGTCTAGCACATATTTGTTGCACTCTGGATCCCCTAGCCAACCACAGCCTTTTAGAAGGCACAACGCACGATTCAGGCCTCTCTTCCTAGGCCTAGCACAGTGCCAGGCACACAGTAGGTCTTCAGTCAGTACTCACTGCCTGTGAAGGTCCCATAGTAGACCCCACACAGAGTTAGCTCTCCCAGGGCCCAGCTGTTAGCCTTCCACAACTCACACACCAAATCCCTTCTAAAGGCTGCGCAGAGCCAGAAGGGCATTCGCTGTTACTGGGTTTCAAAACAATACAGAGCTGTACTCTGCCTTACCAAGGCTGTTTCCACTCCAGGGAATTTACGGGGAGAAATGAGCACAGCAGGGACTGGAAATAGAACTGAGCCCCTCTCGGGGAGAGAACTGGGCTGGCCGGCCAAAAATCAGGAGCAAAACCTCAAAGGCAGAGGGGAGAAATCAGCCTCCAGACAAAAGCCTGAGCTGCAGAGACCTCAACCAACAGGAGTAAACTAGGACAAGGAGATCATTCCCACCCATTCTGCCTTGAAGCTCTTCTTCCTACCCACCTGGAGAGCCTTAGAAGGGGGGTTCCTTGTACAGCCTACCACCACGTGGAAACAACTTACAACACATCCAGAATCCCCAGGCCTGCACAAAGGAGCCACAGGTTGCTTGTGGTTCTCGGCAGGGAACTCACAGTGCCTTCTCCATCCACACTGGCTAGTGGGGTCTCATGTCTGGATTGGGGTCACTATTTATGTCCATCTCCCCCAGCAGATTGGGAGCCTCTAGTGGCTAGGCACCGGGTCTCATTGATCTTCAGACCCCTGGGCCGCTAGCATGGTGCCTGGTACATAGTAGATGCTCAATAAGTTACAAGGCAGCTAGGTCTGGCAGGAAGAGAAAGGTCCTGGTTCAAGAATGATTCCATCCAGGCCTGCCACGTGTACAAGCAAGTCATACACACCCTCTACATCTCAGTTTCCTCACTTGCCAAATAGGAATAACAAGTTCTGTACTCACACGACTGCTGAGAGAATGAACTGGGAAAACACATGTAAAAAGCATGTGTTTTCACGCATTCTACGTTATCAGGCTAGTTACCCTTCAGCCTTCAGCTCATGTCAGTCATGTCCTTTCTGCTGGCCACATTGCCTCTCTCCCAGCACTAAAACCACTTTGTACACCTTTTATTGTTTTATATTTTTCACATCTTTGTGATTACTTGTTTCTAAGTGTGATTCCCCCACTGAACTGAGAGGGCCTGTACACAGGGGGCAACATGTGTTTGTGTCCAAGTCCTGACCAAAGGGGCACTGGGTCCTGGCTGCTGGGACCCTCCCACCCCACAGCCCCAGCTCTGACACACAGCACCCTTCCACTCATGTCCTGATGTGCAGAGCCTCAGGGGCCCACCAAGCATGCAGATAAGGAAGATGGGAAGGGACGCTGCAAACAAACTGTAAAAGAAGTCTCACCTGAGGCCTGTGCCTCCTCTGCAGGTGTAGGTGAGCTTGTTTGGCTGGCTGGCTGCAGCACAAGGGCCTCCAGGGCACAGATTGCTGTTTCTTGCCTTACATAAAGGACACCAGGCAATCAGATAAATAATACATGGCCTTCACTTCAAACACAGGTATCAGGCGTGCAAACACTTGCTCTGCGACAAGGTGCCCTGGGTGTGCGCGTCTGGCTTCGCACAATCCCAGAGGGGATATGAACTGGGAACAGATACCCATGTTCACCCACCACCCAATGCCTTGCCACAGCCTGGACTCAACTAGCTCTAGACCCTAGCAGTGCACCCAGGGAGGAAATGTACAACCCACAGGATGGATTCACACGCCCCAAACCAGCCTCCCTGGTCTCTTTCCGGGCAAATACCCTTGGAGTCCCAGGTGTGCCCCTCGGAACAGCTGACCTGTACGCGAGGCGGGCGTACACCCTCCATGCAGGCATCTCCCAAGGCCGCGGCCGGCCAACCGCCCTCCCGGATCACAGCCACCGAACAAGGCACGGATGCCTCCCCCACTCACTCAGCGGTGCCAGGCGCCAGCACACCCACCGGGCACACACAATCCCACTTGCAAAGAGGCTGTCCATCCGCCTGTCGTCCTCCCCAGCCGCCCCCACGGGCAGGTCCGATTACACTCCCGGCGCCGGCGCCGCCACGTTGGCGAAGAGGGGGCCAGGGCACACCCACGACCCCGCAGGTCGGGACGGGCGCGGCGGCGGACGCTCCCTCCCTCCTCAGCCAGGCCCGCCGCCTTCGTCCCTTCCCTGTCCGGGGATCCGCGGTCAACGTGACCCGCGGAGCGCCCCCAGCACCGGCCTCTCCAAAACCCAGCGGCCCCCACCCCCTGGAGCCCACAGCCGACCCCCTCGGGGCCTCCGGCCGGAGACCTGCCGGGCGGGTACCTCAGGAGCCCATGGCGGCGGTGGCGTGTGCGGGCCACGCACGACTGCCGGACTGTGTGGGTGGGGCGGCGGGCGGTCGGCACCGCAGCCCCGGAGTCCAGTCGCCGCCGCTGGCGCGTCCCGGGCACAGCGAAGTGCCGCCGCGGTGCGCCTGCGCACTGAGCGCGCCTCGGGGGAGGGCGGGGCGGCGAGCGCTCCGCTGAGATCACTCGCGAGGCCTTAAAGGGGCCGCGTCCCGCACCTCCAGTCTCCACCGAGCAGTGGGGGTCGACCCAGGTTCTCCTGCCGCTAGCAAACGCCCCGCCAAGAATCGCCTCCCCGCCTCAATGCGACACCCTAACGCTGTCCACAAGAGCTTCTGGGGGTGAGGGACAGGCAGTGTTGTGGGCTCCCAGCTCTGTTCCAGACATCCCCCTGGCTGGTGCTTCACTTCTCGCACCCTAATCTTCATCAGGCCTGATTTGAAGATAAGACAATATACTGCAATGGCTATGTGTCGAGGGAAGGGTGAGTGTAGCGCTGTGTGCAGTCGCGCCAGACGAAACTGGAAAGCGGAGAGAGGCGTCTTCTTCCCGCGACGCCGCGGCCCCGCCTGGCTCCGGCAGCCTGACCTCGAAGCTCCCCGGACGTCCTCAAGCCGCCCGACCGTGCTGTTGCTGGCGCTGATGTTGCTCGAGCTCCCCAGACTTATATCCCCAGCCCAGACCCCTCCCCTGAACCGTTGCTCAGCACCTCCTACTTGAGGTCCAGTAGGCATCCCCAAGCCAACATGCCCCCAACAGAACCCATCTCTCCTCCCTCACAGCCTCCCTGCGACAGCCATGGGCATCTCCATCCTTCCAGAGCCCAGGCCAGAACTCCCGGAGTCATCTTTAAGTGTCTCCCCCACACCCCTTCTCACTGGGACAGGAAGTCCTATTGGCTCTACCTGCAAAATATATCCAGCCTCTGACCTCCTCACCCCACCTCCACTGTGACCATCGTCATCCAGGTTCTGCCTAGGATTATCGCAGTATTCTTGCTAGGGACTGAATGTTTGTGTCCTCCCCAACATTCAAATGCTGGAGTCCTACCCCTCAATGTGATGGTATTAGGAGGTGGGGCCTTTGGGAAGTGATTAAGTCATAAGGGTGGAGATTTCATGAATGGGATTAGAATCTTTATAAAAGCAGCTCCAAAGAACCCTCTTGCTTCTTTCTGCCATGTGAGGTGTCCATGTAAGAATGTCCAAACATGCCCTGGCCGGATGCTCAGTGGTTAGAGCGTCGGCCCACCAACCAGAGAGTCCTGGGTTCAGTTCCCGCTAAGGGCATGTACCTTGGTTGCAGTTTGGCCCCCACCCCAGTTGGGGTCATGTGAGTGGCAGCCAGTCGATGCCCCCCCCCCCCAATCTACAAAAATGTCCTTGGGTGAGGATAATAAAAATAAAAAAAAAGAATGTCCAAACATGTAGAGAATTGTTATGAGTTTATTTGAGCCAAAACTGATAACAATTGCCAGGAAGCAAGATCTCAAAGGCTTTAAAGAATGACAGTTGCTGTTTCTTTTTCTCATTTGAAATTAATGGTTGAAGGCAAGGATGATTACATGAAGGTAGGAGAAAGCAAAGCAGGGATTGGATTACAGGAGATTACGTGCTCTCTTGAGGGTGATTAGGTTTATTTCAAAGGTGTGTTAACCTAGATGCACAAAAACAATGGACAGGGCTTGCTTAAGGCAAAGGTAAACCTTTTACTAAAGAAGTTATATGCCTGGATCATGACCACCCACCATGACCTGCCTAGTTAAGAATTTATGATCAGATCACCCTGTGAGGTTACTTTCTTTAGAACCCCTTTTTCATCCACAGAGGATACAAGTCAGAAGTCTGCAACCCAGAACAGCAATCTCAACAGAACCCAACCGTGCGGCACCCTGATCTCAGACTTAAAACCTCCACAACTGTGAGAAATACATTTCTGCTGTTCATAAACCACCCGGTCTGTGGTACTTTGCTATAGCAGCCCAAACTGACCAGGATTATTGCAATGTTCTCCTAACCTGTTTCTCTTTTTCCAGCCTTGCCTCCTGCCCAAGTCTATGTCAACATAGGAGCCGGGGGGATTCTTTTTTTTTTAATTTATTTTTCTTTATTGATTTTAGAGAGAGAGGAAGGGAGAGAGAGAGAGAGAGAAACATCGATGAGAGAGAACATCGATTGGCTTCCTCCTCCATGCCCCCCACTGGGGATTTGGTCCACAACCTGGACATGTGCCCTGACCAGGAATCGAACCAGCAGCCTCCTGGTGCATGGGTTGATGCTCAACCACTGAGCCACACTGGCTGGGCCAGAGGGTTTCTTTTACCTAAGTCAGAACATGGCACTTTTTTGCTCAAAACTTTCTATTGGCTCCCCATTTCACTCTGAGTAAAAGCCCAAGTCCTCACCAATCTCTACAGTCTTGCTTGGTCTGACATTCTACCAACCCAGGCACTTCTGACCTCATTCATCCTCTTCTTTCCCTCCACACTGACCCCGTGCTGTTCCTCAAACAAACCAAACACACTCAGCCTCCAGTTCTTTGCCCTGGCTGTTCCCTCTGCTGGGATCACTGCCCCCTCAGATATCTGAATGGTCCCTCCCTCACCTTCTTCAGGGTTTGCTCAAATGTTCACCACTCCTTCAGGCTTGCCTTAACCACTCTAGTAAAATTGCCAAATCCCCCAGATGCTCTATTTTCCCCCATATCACTTAATTTCTATCATAACATGTAGTTTGTCTGTTTTACCATTTGTCTTTAGCCAGTCAAACATAAACTCTAGCCTGGCCGGTGTGGCTCAAGAGGTCACTGGTTCAATTCCCGGTCAGGGCACATGCCCAGGTTGTGGGCCCGATCACCAGTGCGGGGTATGCAGGAGGCGGCCACTCGATGTTCTCTCTTATAGATGTTTCTATCTCTCTCTCCCTCTCCCTTCCTCTCTCTCTAAAACCAATAAAGAAAAAAAAATTTTTTTAACAAAAACATGAACTCTATGAGGACTAAGATTTTTGTCCTTTTTGTTTCCTGATATAACCTCAGTACTTAGGACAAGGGCTGGCACAGAGAGCGTGCCCAAAGAGTGTTTGTGGCAGGCGGGAAGATCCTCCAGAAAGAGCCCTATAGAAAAATTCCTTCCCAGACCCAGGTGGGAAGCTGCTTAGAGCTACCCCAACACACTAACAAGGTGTACCGTACAGCCAACTGCTTGGTAATCATTTGTTTTGACTTCCCAGCTCTCCTGCCTTACACACAAGCCCCTCCAGGGCAAAGTCCTGGTCTCAGGTACGCTAGTTTATGCTTAGCATTGAAAGCTTACAACCCAGACAGATCCTGGCATCCACTATCTGCTCCAGAGTGGTCAGGCCAAACTGCACCCAAATTCAGGATCTTAGCCCTGCTCATCTAGAGCACTCTTGGGTCTCAACTTACAGAGGCCCCAGGCTGGTTGGGGCAGAGGCAGATGGTGAGTATTTTTAGGTTTGTGTTGCCAGAGACGGGCTCAAAGACAGAAAGTCACCTGGCCCAAGTGCCATGGTAGGTCAACAGGTGGCACTGGGACCCCTGGATTGGTTGCTCCCTACCTCTCCTTATCCTCTCCCCCAGGCTTTCCAAAATGAAAATAAACATCTAACCCCTCTTTTTACCAGCACCCCCCCCATGCAACATACAACTGTACAGTCGTCCCCGCCACTTCGCGCTTCCACTTTCGCGGCTGCGCTCTATCGCGGTTTTTTCAAATATATTCATTAAAAAGTTGATCGAGACAGTGAAAATGATACAGCGTGCACTCGGTTGTCTGAGTCAATTATACACCCCTGTATTACAATTAAATTTAAAATTACTGTACGGATGGACTGTAGGCCTATGTATTCGAGCGCCCCAGGAATCCTTCAACGCCAGGTGCGACCAGGTGCTAGAGTCTGGGACGGATTAGCCGCGATAAACGAGGGACAACTGTACATCCATCCAGGGTCAAAGTTGCTACTCATTTTGGTCCCCTCTCCCCTCCAAACCTGGGCCCACTGCCCTGGACAATTGTGACAATTCCCCAGCCCACCAGTCACCTTTACACCTGCTCACTGAGGCCTCTTTTCACCTACAGCAAACAGCTGTTCTTCCTTCAAAGACCAATCAGAACTCTTTTGGTTCCTTCCTGATCCCTACCTCTCCTACTCTGTTTCAATTCGTTTCTCCCTAATTAAAAAACTGGAAATCATCTGAAACTCATCAAAGAATAGTTAAGTAAATTATGGTAGGTCCACAAAATGGCATATTGTGTAGATATTAAAATAGCCTCTTTATGCCCTGGCCGGTTTGGCTCAGCGGTTAGAGCGTCGGCCTGCGGTCCAGAGAGACCCGGGTTCGGTTCCCGCTAAGGGCATGTACCTCGGTTGCAGTTTGTCCCCGGCCCTGGTTGGGTCGTGTGGGTGGCAGCCACTCGATGTGTTTCTTTCACGTCAATGTTTCTCTCTCTCTCTTCCTTTTTCTCCCTCCTGCCTCCGGCTCTATCTGAATAAAAAATGGAAAAATGTCCTCAGGTGAGGATAAAAAAAAAAAAATAGCCTCTTTACACATTGCAGATGACATGGGGAAATGATTAAGAGTAACACTGAGTAAAAACAGCAGTAATAAATTTGCAGTGACAACTGAGAGAGAGGAAGGAGTCAGGAAGCCCTGAGGTTACCAGCCTGGGAACCTGGGAGTGTGGAGGGGGTGGCATTCTTTGCTCCAAACCAAGGAGGGTCCCCCTGCCAGGGAGAAGCAGAGCTGGGAGGGCGTGACATCAGGAGGGAGGGTGGGGAGTGGAAAGAGAAAGGTGGTCAAGGCTGCCCTAGTATCTTTTTGTTGTTGTTTTGTTAATCTTCACCTGAGGATATTTTGTCCATTGATTTTTAGAGAGAGTGGGAGGGAGGGAGAGAGAAACATTGATGTGAGAGAGACATATTGATTGCTTGCCTCCTGCATGCACCCCAACAGGGGCGGGGGATTGAACCTGCTACACACCCTTGACTGAGAATCGTACCCACAACCCTTCCGTGGGCTGGCATGGCAGACTGTCTAA